ACACCAGATACACCCATCCTAATCTTCTTACTTGCATTTTCCTTTATTGGGATTTGATGCGTTTTGCCCCTCAATTTTCGCTTGATAGGTAAATATGATAAAACTTCTGGTTTATTCTTTTCCCTTTCCTTGTCAGCAGGCAATAATTATCTCTTTATCTTGCCTATGTCTTCCTTTCACATCAGCAAGCGAAAAATCACTTTCTATTGAAGTCTGTCTTTCCTTTACCTTCATAGCAGGCAATAACTCACTCTCTAATGAAGCCTGTTTCTCTCTCTCTCTGCCTCTAGAAGTTGCTGTGGGGGCTGCATTTTTTCACAGGGATTACTATCCCTTCTCCTCTTACTTCTACTTGACTCAGCACCTTCTTCCACTGTTCGTCATATTTCTCTTAACTGTTTTTGGAGTTGGGTAGAGAAGTATTTCATCCATCATTTTCTAATCACTCAGCTCTTCTCCGTTTTCGGTCTGGAATCTACGACTTCATCACTTTGGTCTTTACACTCATCCATGCACTGTCTCTCTATTCTTCTTATTACATGAGCCACCCACCCTCTTAGTTTTTGTACTGGGGGTGGCCCCTGGGCATCTTGCTGGCCACGTCTTCTAAGGGTGTCTCGGGCAGGGGGGTCTCTTTCATGGTCCTACACCACTTGGTCTTATATTCAATTTGGCCACACTTAGCATATCCTGGCTCGTCGAAATTTTGGTAAAATGCCCATTTTGCCGGACAATCTACAGTTCGACGCCCTTTGTAATTACAAGTCCAGCAGACTAACCCCTACCTGTCAGGTGTGGGCATATAGAAACCATGTCCCTGTGACCATTCTCTCCTATTGGGAACTTCTTCCCACTCTTCTGTCTGGTCCTCTTCCTGTGCTATGCTCTTATTCCACATGGAGGGTTTCTTTCCCCTATTCTTCCTGCTGCATTCTACTATTCCTCGTCTCTTCCCATAAATTTTCACTGTCTTTGGCCAGATATACAGCCATTGATAACCTAATTAGGGCCTCCTTAATTACGTCATGCCTGATGTGTTCATTTTCCTGCACAGCCACAAACAAATCCGTCAAGTGGACCTGAATGGCGTCATTCTCCCTTACTTCCTCAGGGAATGCTATAGTCGACACTTTTGTCGCTCTTGATCCCAATTCCCTTGTCGCGTCGTCCCTTACCTGGGTGAAATTCATGAGGCTCCTCATGGCCTCTATTGCCGTTCCCTCATCTGCATATTCTTTTATCTAGATCAGTCCACATTAATCCAGGGTCCCTTGCTAGGTGGCCTCCTATGAACTCGGAGACCAGCCTCTCAGCTGCATTATATGCCAACAGCGCTGTCTCTACATCTAAAAGTTCATAGATGAGATGTTTCTTTTCTATTGCCATTAACCAATTCTTTATGCACTAGTACCCTGTGTCCTCCCAACAGGTTTTTGAATTTATCTGATACCTGAGGCTTGTTTGCCTCATTTCCCCCTATAGAGAGGGTGGAGAAATTAGATATATCAATGTCAATTTCGCCAGGTAGGTGAGGGGGGATGTTTACATAAACAGGCCCAAAGACACACAGAGACAGACCCAATATATAAGGTTGCCAGAGATTCACTTCAGTTGTATTTCCTGTGACTAGAGTGAAAATGAAATCAGAAGGAGACAGGCCCAGAAGTTGGCTCAGAGTAGCCCCAGATTACCAATAAGACATTTGTTGATAAAGAGCACACTGCAATTCCGATAGCTAGAATGAAAACCCAGACACATGCATGACAGAAGAATTGAGTGAGATCTGATGGTTATTAATTTAGCATTTGAAACTAGGTTTCCCAAATCCCCATACTGCAGTAGAGAGCTTGATTTTGCAGTAGATGATAGCGACTTTTTAATCAACCAGTTTGTTGTTAGAGTTATCAACAGTGTTAGGCATTTTATTGAAATTCTTATTCCAGCTGGATTTCCAAAGTAGTCCTAATCTGGGTAACCATCATGCAATTTTGAACTAAACCCTTTATTTAATCTACAACAGCAGATTGTTCCTGTTCTGCTGTCCATGTTTAGCGATATCTCATCTTGTTCTCTTTTTAGTACTTCTCAGTTATTGCTGATTTCCAAAGTAGTACAAGGATGTGAAAAGACAAAAATTACCATGGCCACAGCAGGAATTATGCAATCTTGTCTGTGGTACACAATGTACACAGAGGCATCCATGCTAGACTTTACTGTCACTCACCAGTATCGTAAGACTTTCAGATACCCAAATCAACCCAATCGAAATGTCACACCAGCCCCAACAGGGAAAGGAAAACAAAGCATCTTATTTTGGTAAATGACTGTCATGTCATCAGTTTATGATTAAATTCTTTGTAGTACTAAACATCCAAGAACACAAGAATAAAATATATTTGCTATTTTAATAAAATGTGCAGCTGGGCAATTGACACTGTGGCTAGGTAATTTAAAAAAAATTTTTTTTTGAAAATTGTTCTTATTACTATAGATTAAGTACTCTAGATCAAAATTATCAAAAAAAAAAGAATTCTATTTCATAAAAGCTGAGGAAGAGATTTATTATAAATTGCTTCCCCTGACACAAATCAAGACAAATATGCTGATATGCCAGGATTTATGAAAAAAAAACAAAAATTCAGATGACAAAATTTTAAATACTTTCTTTTTTTAACAAAGCCCAGAATGGTACACAAAAAATATACTCTTAAAAAAATAAAATAAATTTTGTTTTTTTTTCTTTTTAATCATTTCATCCAAAGTAAGGCAATAAAGCCACTAAGATGCAAAGGGTTAATGAGTGTTAGGCAATATGCAGAAAAAAAGCACTATTAATTTCGTTAGTTGGTTGATTTTTAGTAGTATATCAACCTCTATGGATTATTTAATGCCAAAATCTAAATATTTTGAACACAATTTCTTGCCTTCAACTACAGATGAAATGTATTGTTGGTTATTTTGCTATAAAATGTATTGCTGGTAATTCTACTATACCTAGTATAAAATGTATTGCTGGTTATTTTTCTTTAAAAATGTATTGTTAATTTTACTATAAATAGGTATTGCTGGTAATCTTACTAGAAATGAGTACTGTTGGTAATTCTTTTTATATTGTATTTTTATACTTTCAAGGTGTTTTTATTTTTGTTTGAGGCTTCACCATTTGCCCATAGCTGGGACCCTAACAGGTACAATCACTCCAACCAGAAAACAACAGCAATTAAGAGGTAGTTTCACACACCCTCAAAACCTCCAGTCTTATGATCAGAGGCCTTGTTTCCAAATGTAGTTTATTATTGTATGCAGGACTAACACTACTAAGGAGAGAGAAGAATAAAAGAACAGGAATTAAAAAGTAAAAAGACAACGACTGACATTGCATTTAAATTTTTGAAGATCAAATTTAACTGGAAAGCAAGAAGCAAAAAGAGTTCTACAAACGAGTAGTACAATAGAAGAAACTGTTAGCATAGAACTTACGGTTACATTTAGTTCTTTTAACTGTAAAATGATGAGACTTGCTACCAATCCAGTAATGCATTTAAACTTATAAAGTCTAGGTATAAAAAAGGAAAGTTCATTAGAACAATTACCATGAAAGTATTTATAGAAAAGGCACAAGAAATCTACATGGAGTGACTGAAGCTGAGATACCAGGTAATGACCAATAACATTGCAGATTCTTCTTTGAATTTTATCAAGATCTCTAAATATATAGGAAGAGCACCAGATCAGATGTGGCAACTTTACTCAAATATGTGCATCCACTAAATATTACGCATCTAATAAGAAATAATATGAGACTGTTATATAGGAATAAAGTGTTGCTGCCGACACTTGAGTTTGAACATAGATCACCAGTGAGCAAACACAGGCGATCACATTATTGAATTAAGTAGACCACATGACCATAGAAGAACGCATATATGTAGTAAGTAGCTGATGTCTAAACGATCTGCATTTCTAGTTTATCCTTTATTACTATACGGACAGCTATTCTCTACTCTATTCACTATACTATTTTTCTATTCGGATCACTATATGGATTACTATTCAAGTGAGTATTATTAGTGCGAGTGATATTCAAAGGCGTCTTACACCAGTATTGTTCAACAGTGTACTATAGTTGTATCTACGACTATAAAGTCTCTACTACAACAAGCATTACAAAAATGACAATGAGTATTCATTGGCATCATAAAAGTAGTTATGAGTATTCATTGACACTACAATCTACTAAAAATAACATTTGAAGATATATAGTCAAGGAATTTGGTCATGAAAATTTTTTTAAAGATGGCGATCCCGTTATTGAATTAAGCAGACCATGTGACCATAGAGGAAACACATATATGGGAGGTAGTGTGATATCTAATTGATCACGAGTTCCACTCTATCCTCTATTAGTATACGGATCACTATTCTCTACTCTATTCACTATACTATTCCTCTATCCGGATCACTATACGGATTACTGTTTGAGCGAGTATTATTGAGCAAGTACTATTTGTGCAAGTGATATTCAAAGGCGTCTGACACCAGTATTGTTCAACGGCGTATTATATTTGTATGTGTGATTACTTAGTCTCTACTACAATGAGCATTTCAAAAGTGGCAATGAGTGTTTGTTGACATCACAAAAGAGGCTATGGATAAAAATCAATTCCTTTAAAATCCATATTACTTCATTTTTAAAGTTTCCACTCTTCATCCATGCAGCTTCCCAAATCTTTAGCGAAACGAGTTTAAAAATTAAATTCAGGCATTTTCAAAATTGACCAAAAATAATAGTTTTCTTTTTCATTTTTCTTTCTCGACATGACAGATTACTGGGCAAATGTTTGTAGTTTGTCTGTTACAGTGTCTCAAAAAAGTACGAATGCACTTATCTTAAAAAAAAAAAACAATTCAGAACATTGATTTAATTACCTTTATTTACAATCATTGCCATTTTAAATTTTTTCCTGTCCCTTCTGGTAGTTTCACTTCTCCAAAGTGAATTAATTGTTTATTTTCATTATTGGTAATTCATCTGGAGCAGCTTCTGTAACTTCATTTTCAGGAACGATGTGTTTGTCTTTTGTCATTTCTGAGCCTTGAAGAATCTCCCCTGAGTGAGAAGTTGGTACATTGTTGGAATGCAAATTTTCTGGAAAAAATAAATCAGTCAAATAACTAAATCAAATAAATTTAATTTATTTAATTTTTCAAAACCTAATTTTTCCACTAATAGAACATATTTTAAGGCATATTTCTAGACACAAAAAGGTTAATCAAATAAAATAAATTTTATTTATTTAATTAAAGAAATAAATAGATTAAATAAATTAAATATTTTTTTTGAAATGGAGGCTACTCAGTGTTATTTATTGATAATTTTTACATAGGAAAAAGAAGCAAAAATATTCATATCAATTATTTGGTCATTTATAATATTATATATATATATATATATATATATATATATATATATATATATATATATATATATGTAACTGATAAAGGGTCCCCCTCTTTATTTAGCCAAAAACGTCCATCCTCTCTGCCTCACCACATTATATATATATTTTTCTTGTACAAAATAAATCCGAAGATGTCCGTGCATGTCATGCTTTTTCAATTAAAGGGACTTAATTCTCTAATTTTCAATATTGCCTTTATCTCTATATAATAAATGTGAAAATGCGTGTGTGTGTGTGACAACTCATTAACTTTCAATATCTTCTTTATAATAAATGTGAAAAGGTTATGTGTGTGTCATGCTTTTTCAGTTAAAGAGGAACAACTCTCCAACTTTCAACATCTCCTTTATCTATGTAAATGTGAATGTCTGTGTGTCATACTTTTTCAATTAAAAGGTCACAACTCTCTAACTTTCAATAGCTCATCTTCTTTTATATAATAAATATCAATGTCAGTGTGTTACGGTGCCATGTATTTTCAACTTTACTCCTGGACACTGTAGCCCAACATATACTATTTTGGAATCTGGCCAACTCTGTATGCAAATTAAAAATCCTGAATTTTGGATTCCCAAGTTTTCATTTCTGTGATTGTTTTCAGTGAGTTTTTGAAACAAATTTTTTTGTACAATGACAATTTTTATAAACTTGGAAATAAATTTTGGAATAATAAAAATTGCAAAATCTAGCAGAAGTCACCCATGAAATAAAAATAAATGTTTGTACAGAAAGTAAGGACCTATGTACATCAAATTGTCTTTAAATTATGTGTCGGCAGAAGAATTATCATTGAACATTTAAAATTAATGTAATACTTAATGCAAATATAAATTAATGCAATACTTAAATGTAGCGGTCAATTTTGAGTTCTTCTGTAGTTTATTGTTGCCTATTGCATCTACTCCTCATAACATATTGTGATGAAGGCTCAATCAAGAGCTCTCTGCAGAAGCTAGGTTAAATGCTAATATATATATATATATATATATATATATATATATATATATATATATATATATATATAAACAGGTATAAGATACAAACAGGTCAAGATACAAACAGGTCAAGATACAAACAGGTCAAGATACAAACAGGTCAAGATACAAACAGGTCAAGATAGTTGTGTTTTTTTTTTTCTACCTCTTACAAATCTCAGGGGAAAAAACACTAATAAATACAACTATTAATTAACTATTTCATTCTGTTAATTTGACTTACCTGTATCAGACACCAGAGAATATTTGGATGTTTCTTCAGGGAACAAAACATGGATTATAGGATGTTCTAGCACAACTTTACCAGACAAGTTTTTCTCAAGAGATTCTTCAGCACACAAATTATAATATCTGGAAAAAGAGATCAGTTCTTTTATTTGTGCAAAACCATAATGACTTTTTGAATTCCATTAGAAATATCTAGAAAAGGCATATCAGAAAATGGTGAGAAGGAATTGGCCCAAATCTTCTCACAAACATTTCAAAGTGAAATAAATGAAATTCAAGTTTTGAAGTTTCCCAAAAGTTTAATTACCAAATTCCTTTTAATATGACAACTTAATAACAACTAAAGGACCTGTTTATATTTTCGAGATGAGGTTATTGTCATTATTTACATTGTTGTCTTCATCTTTATTGATATATTCATAACAATTCAGCCATTATAGGCTCCAGCCTTCTTCAGATGATTGGAACTGAACTCTTTATTTAGTCTACCAGAGTAGACTGTTCTAATTCCACATGCCATGCCTATTCTGGATGTCTTGGTTATCTCCCTTTAACTCAACTCTCCAAGTTTTTCATCACCACTGCAGTAGGCAGGTATTAAACTCACAACTCAATCAGGATGAATGATTCAGTGGATAAAAGTGTTGGTTGGATCCAGTAACTTGACCCAAAGAGTTGTGAGTAAATTATATAAGTAACTAAGGGACTCTGGTAAGTTTTTAAACATTCCTATCAGTGATGATGATTATAATAAACACTGAAATCAACAGGACATTATTTTTATATATATAAAAATATATAAGCAAGCTTGTGAGTGCACATAGGAGCATGAGCATACACGCATCTGTTACGATTGGATATTGTAAATATACTCTTGTGGAGAAGTTGCATTTATGAACGGACTGATGGACATTTATGCAAACGTCAGCATGCACACATCACTAAGAGAGTAAAAAAAAAAACACAAATAAATAAATAAATAAAAAAATGGGCATTTACATAAAAAGGACCCTTGAAGAGAGGACTTGAACCACAAAACTTTGTAGTTAGGAGAATAATAATAATTCAAATAAATACATATTAATTTATAGTAAGTAAATTTTTCAATTTAAAAAAAAAAAGTGTGCGAGTGTTAATTTATTTCTGTATGTAACTTTGTAAAAATTCTAATATGCTGAAGCAGGCATTGAAGGGATTAGAATTTTTTAAAACTTACATAAATATAGAATTATCTATGTGATACATGACTGGCCAATGAGAATCGATCCAAACAAAATTGAAAATACCAAAGTTCTACCTTTTTGTTGGTTATCTCTTAATCTCTGACAAACCTTTAATAAAAGTGAAACATGTCAGATTGATAAATATTTCCCCGTTTGTTTTTTATCTTATCCTGTCAAATTCCAATCTACATTTGACCTTTAACTCTTGTATGTAAAAATGACCAGCTACTCATTTCTGAGCACATCATTCTTCCAGAGTGGCAAGTCAATCCCTGTTGCAGATGCCTGCTCAGGAACATTTGTGTTTGTTCAGAGCCTACCTGTTGTTTATACTGCAACTCTGCTGAGTGGATCTTAGTTACAGTTCCTCAGAGAGAACACGTCATTTGACATGAAGACAGTTTGGAAACCGACCAGTTTTCAAACCATCTGCTGCAAACATGCTTGATTGCCTCTTTATATATATATATATATGATATATAAAACATAAAACATTAGGCAGCATATGATTTACATGTTAAAGAAAACACCTTCTTGACAAACATAATATATGCATAAAATCCTGTTCATCCATAGAGAGATCCTTGAAACCCTGAGTGTTTATTTGATAAAATGAAAGGAACATTCTAACCATTCTAAAGACATTTATATATATATATATATATATATATATATATATATATATAAATTTTCACAAAAGAAATAAAATAAAATTCACTCAGGCCTTAGCGTTACGAAGCCTGATGATTACAGGAAAAAACAAGATGGCCCCATCAAATCAAAATTTGAACAGAATTTTTTAAAGGAAAAAATTACATCTTGCTTGGATTATCCGTAAGGATTTTTCATCAAATAAACTGAAAACTCAGACAACAAGTTTTTTCTTCACAATCAATAATTCTGTTTTTCTTTGTAATAATCACAGTGTTTTATTCTTTTATATTATTTATAATATATGGGATGGTTTTAGGCATAGACCAGAAAATTTCTGAACAAATGATTTATGTCATTAGGCTGAGGATTTTCAGCAATACAAACTAATTCATTCTGTTCTTTGACACAGTGTTCAGCATGCCAGTTTTATTTCAATAAATGTCCTGCAGATATCTTGAAAAGAAAATGACTGTTAATCTGATTTATTGAAAAAACACTTTCATCTTTGAAATTTCATCTTTGAGGTCAACAAAGATGTGTTATCTTGGTAAAAACTAAAAACTGATGAAACAAAAACTGCTAAACAGAGAAAGTACTTACTTGTTTTTTTCCTTAGACCGCAATTCCTGTTTCATATAAAAGCTCAAGGTTTTCACATCGACAGTCCGGTAGGCCTTCAGCTTATACAGCAAAATGGCATTAGCTGTGTTTGGATTTAGAACATTCTGGAATGCCTCAGAGACAAGCAGCTTCTCAGAGGTTCTAAGTGAGAGAAAAATAAAGAAAAGTAGCTACAGTACAAAATTGTATATAATTCACCTAAATTCTATGTAATCTGATCACAAACAGAATCCAGCAAATGATTCTACAATAATAAAAGAAATCAAGACAGTAATGGTGAGATGATCTCTTTCCATACAGGAAAAAATTCGACATTCAGCGGCTGAATAGTTAGTGTTACTGTTGGTTAAAATTTATAAATTCTTTCTCTTAAAAATTTTTTTGAGAAAAACAAAATTCTCAATTCCACTAATAATTACCACTCTTTCTTTTGCTGATTAGAAGGTTCCTTCCTAACCTTTTGTTTAAGGTAGTGTGTAAAGTGTTGTGTTGCACCTCACACCACGTTCATTGACAGGGTGCAGCGCCTTCCAGTCAAACACTTGTGGCATAATAATTACCCTTCAGCCAGATCCTTACCCAAGAGTGATAAGACAATTTCTAGCAATAAAGCAGATTTTACTCTTGGTTTGGTTTAGTTTGTTTTATGGCATATCAACCTCATTATTTATTTAATGGCAACAAGATTTTTTATTGATCAGTAATTTTTTTTCTTCAAAAATTTATTGCCGGTATTTTTTTACAAAAAAGTATTGCTGGTATTAAAACCTATTTTTACACTTTCATAGTGTTCTGACCCCAGTTTGGGGATTAACTATTTACCCATAGCTTGGACCCTAACAGGTGCTATCACCCTGGGTGAGGGTGTATCTGGAAACACCAGCAATTAAGAGGTGGTTCCACGCTCCTCAAAGCCTTCTCATCAGAGGCTTTGTTGTTGGATGTAGTTTATCGTCCTACCCAGGATGGAATTTTATTCTGATTGTAACCTATGTTTAAGAGTTTTAAAGATAGATGAGGATTTTTTTTTAGGGTTTCCTTTCAGATGTGTGACACATTGAATGCTTTAAACAAAAAGCATGATTCCTATGTGTCACACATCTGAGAGTTGCATAAGCCATAATCTCTGGTAATAATTTTGAAAGATAAAACTTGACTGGAAAGCAAGTGAGAAGTGCAAGAGAAGAAACTGATAGCATAGAACCTACAGTTACATCTAGCGGCCATTTCAACTGTAAAATGAGACTTTGCTGTCAATCTAGTACTGTCCTTAAATTCAACTAAAACTCAATGTACCAAAGAGGAAAGTTCATCAGAACAATTAACATGAAAGTTGTTTAATATAAACCAGCTGAAAATAGACAAAAACAATATATTTTTCATAAAACTAAAATGGACCAAACATACCAAATAAAGTGTTTGGGTGTTATTTGAAGATATAAATGTTCAATTCCTTTCATTATTTTTCATTAATTTAGTTATTCAGTTATTTTATTTTGAAGGAAAAAACATATCTGCTCATCCCTGTCCCAAACATGTTTCAGAGAGAAAACCAAATTTAAAAAAAAAGAATTGGCATTCAATAAAATTGTTTATGGGAAAATCAAGAGGTTTTTTAATGTCAATCAAATATTTTGTGTTATTCAATAAAATTTTCAAATAAACGTTTGTTTTATAGATATTAAATAACTTTTGGTATTCCTAATTATTCAAAGTTTTAAAATTTCAAAATATTTTTTCATTGAGTATTTGTGTGGGCTAACAACATTCAATTAAAAACATGTTCACTTTTTTAATATTACAAATATAATAAAAAAAATTTACATGTTTTTGTATAAAACAGTAAAGGATTTAAATATATATTTTGTACATAACCTTTTGAAATAAACATAAGAATTATTTAAAATATAATTTTTTTTAATGTTCAAAAAATGAACTAAAAGATGGGAATAATTGAATTTCAGCAAAAAAAAATTGTCTTATTTTGTTTTTTATCAAAACCTAATAAACTTTTAGAATGGTTTGTGAATGGATTATGTTAAGACAACAAAATATAATTTTACCTTTTTGTTAAAAAAACTCAACCTAAAATTAAAGCTGGAATTTATTTGAAATTGCATAGTTTTTAATTATAAAAAGGTGGTATTTTGGTAATAATTGGTCTAGAAGAGAATTCAATTTAGAGTAATATTATGCCAGTCATAACAAATAAATAATGCAATAAATAAAAAGCTATATCTTTCTTTTGTAGTCCTGCAAAACTTTCAATTGTATATCCACATCCAGTTATGAAATCTAGACCTCTTTTCTTCATATTTGATTCAGTTCATATACTAAAATGCATTAGAAACAACTGGTTTGGTCAAAAAGATGCAAGTAAATGCATGATGTTCCCAAAATTTTGTCATAATGGAAATCATGATTTAGATAATATCCAAAGTGCCCCATTTTGTACTTTACAGAAACTTTTCATGTCCTGAATCTCAGTCAATTTTGAAATATTGCTATAAATTGACCTCAAAAGCTCTTTTCTCCCACTAGTTTTGAAAGGCAAAATGTTTCATTAGTTTTGCAAATTTTTAACCAATTCACTATTCAGGGATTGCTGACCTTAGGGAAACAGAAATGTTTGCCTAACTTTGCAGAAGTTGCAGAATACATAAACATATTTTATACTTGGTGGACAATACTGAATGTAAAAACACTATATAAAGGTTGGCAGCTTAATAAATATGCTAATCCACCGATGATGACAATTATATATTTCTCAATGTATTCTGCAACTGGTTAGAAACTTGGAATAGCATTCCTGGAAATAATGGGAAGTTAACAAATGAAGCCTTCACAGCTTTACATCATACTGCTCAGGCAATTCTAGAACTGATCAAAGATCGTACAGAAGAATTGAAAATGACGTATGTATTAGTTGGCAAATTTCAAACAGAGCACCTTGAGGATAGATTTGGCAAGTACCAGCAACTTGGTTGAGATCAATATAATATCACTATATGTCAAGTGTTTGAGTGTGAAAAAATCAGAATGATGTCAGTTTTAAAATTGAGCCTGCCACTTAATAACCAAAGTATTGATTTGAAGAATTTACAAACTAACTGGGATGAAGTGGCAGGGGAGCAAAATTTAGATATTTATAAATTTAATATTTAGATTTAACAGATGAAGGATGTTAATGAATGCAGAGAAGTTGTTGTTCCTGTTATATTATATGTAGCAGGTTATTGCTGTTATGCAGTTTTTAAGAAAATGAAATGCAACAGTTGCAAGAATTTAATATCTGGAAGTGATAATGAGGATGAAGACAAAATAATGAAATAAACAGCAGCTATTTTCAGGGGATTAATAGAGGTTCTCTGCTATATCCTAATGATACTACTACAAATGCTGTTCTCTATAATTATATATTATTGGTTATTGGTAAATTGACAAAAAATTCTTTTTTTTCATTCAGTAAATCAAAGGAAATTAGCCATGCACATAACCTTGAATTTTTTGCAGATAATGATCATCTTTTTCATGTGGACTTCTTGTGGTGAGGGTCACAGTATTGAAAAATTAGAAAGAATGCTTGTCTGGAGCTCTTCAAATGTTCTTTTTAATAATTTTTGTAAGGGAAAAAATAATAATTAATAAAAAAAACAAGTTAACCAAAAAAAAAACTTCAAACCTTCAGCTAAATTTCCCATATACCTTATGTAACATTTTTTTTTCTAAAATTATTTAAAATTTGTCTTTTATTTTCTACACAACAAAAATGTCAATATTGTAACTTTATTACTACAGAATAATTAAAATAAAACATAAAAAATTAAAACAAAAACCATGTTGATTTTTTTTATTGTAAAGAAAATAGTTTTTCAAATAATTTTATACAAATCAAAATAAGGAGAATTGTTTTACAGTTTTAAATTCAATAATGAAACGTACACTATTTACTTTAACATAGCAACAAATGTAAAAAAAATTAAATAATTTTCCTTTAGAAAATAAATTATTATAAGGTAAAAATTTGACATTGGTTTCTTTCTTTTAATGTAATTTCCTTAATAATTGTTCCCAAAATTTCCTATTTCTGATTATTTTTTTTCAATTGTTTTGAAACAAATTTTTTTTACAAGACCTTTTTATAAGTTTGATTTTTGAATAATTTTAATTGCAAAATAAAAAAGTCACCATGCCTCCAAAAAATGATTTTTGTTTTCAGTGTAAGGACCTTTTTGTTTTAAATTATGAAATGCAATGGATCAAACTTTAAAATTAATGTTGGTGTTTTGGTGCAAATTTTTAATATTTTTAAATTTGAATTTAGAAAATATTTTGATCTTCTTAAATTTATTGTTGATTGCATTTTATTTTGGTTTTTTCTTAGGGTCATTGTTGAAGGCTCAATCTGCACCAGAAGCAGGTTGGAATTCACTTTTTCTTCAGTATTTATTTATTTAACAGTATGTATGTATATATATAATATATGCTGTATTTGCTCCCCAAGAAATGTCATTCTGTCAATTTCAGGTCAAGTTTACAAACAATCTGAATAAAAACAGGTCAAGATTGGGTACAGGTCAAGTTGATAAACAATCAAAGATAATCCTGATTCAAGATAGGTGTGTTTTTTTTTTTTCTTTTCTAGAAAAACAGGAAAAAACACTAATAAACAATCATTCAATTAACAGTTTCTTCCAATTTGACCTCATAATCAAACCCCCTAACTCCCACGTTTTGGCTGTCCCAAAACTCAGGATTATAAGGATAGCTTGCTAGCACAACTTTACCAAGGATTTTTTTCAAGAGATTTTCAGCACACAAATTATAATATCTGAAAAAGAGGCTCTTTTATTTGTGAAAACCATATTGCTTTTGAATCACGTCTCAATTTTTCCTTTTAGAAAAGGGTGATCAGGAAATGGTCGTTACCTGATCATAATCTCATTTGGAAAACAAACATTGTCAAATGAAATAAAACCTGAAATTGTTTTGAAGTTTCCCAAAGTTTACCAGGTGCAATCCAACCTTTTAATATGACAACTTAATAACAACTAAAGGACATGTTTCTGAGAGTTGGTTTATTAAATTATTTCTCATTTTATTTGGATATCTAACAATTCAACCATTGTAATCTCCATTCC